ATTGTACTTCCATCACGGAACTGCCCCAGCAGCTAACCACATTCGGGGACAAGCGCCAGCGAGATTCTGCCACGCGAAGGTGATTCAGTGCCTGAGTTCAGCGAGGCCGTTGATTAATCCGTCCCTGTAGACCACGTTGTTGAGCTCCGCCCGAACCCGCGAATCGAGGAGGTTTAGATCAGGTGACACACGTGGATATTCCGTCTTCTTCAGGTTCTCAACGACCTTCCATTGCGAGCGGGTTTTCGCCCTTCCATTCCAAGTAGGCGAAAGTTTTTCCAACGCCCTTCGATTCCATGTGGTGGCACCCAATCCTGTAGCAGTACGAAGTTTCCAAGAGGTACGGGCGACGATGAAGGCAGGATATTCTCCTCGAGTTGGTCGATGTAACGTCAGCGCTCCTTTCAGTCCGGAGTCCACGAAGTAATCGGTCTTCCCATTCCGTATACTTCCGTACCATCAAGCCGCGCCTTGGCGACTGCGGTGAAGATGATATCCTGGACCGTAGCGACGTTGTCGGAGCTGCTCGATGTTGGAGGTCTTCCAGATCAAGAGTGCCGGTCTCCAGGTAGCTGTCCATGGGTGACTCCATACAAGAAGTTTCGCAGCTGTTTGGAGGTGACGTGAATTCCATAGGCCTTCTCCAGTCAGGCTGCGACTGGAGATGACTTCATATTTTGGTGTACATGAAGGTGATGGGCGAGAGCCAGCTCCTGCTTATCGAGGAACATCTTGGGTATCTTCCGCCCTGGTACTCGTATCCACGTCTTCTCTCTGGGCTGCTCTAAACTTTGCTGATATGTGACTCGGCCAAAGTGTCTTTTTTTATTGCCCCCCTCCCTGTATAAGGAACGACAGCACAGTGAAGTCGGAAGATAGACTCCCTTTGAATCCAAGATAAAAGATCAAGATCATCACGATGAAATACATGGTATAATAGAAGCAGTTTCATGGGATATTCTGTTCTGAGAAGGCAATAAACTCACGCGCTAAACGGAAAGAACTGGCCAAATTATCCCAGATTATCGTCCAGTACTTCTCTTCCCAGTCTTGAAGCTCGCACAATTTGATTAAAGTATCCGCCGTTACTTTGTCGGATGAGATCTGAACTAAGATGATGATTTCTACGGTAAAGAATTCTTCTCTCATCATTCCAGAAGAAAAAATAACCTCAGCAGAAATCTTCTTCAGACGCTCGTTCACCAGGGACTGAACATCATCACTTAATAGGGAAGTAATGCCCATTCCTTTCAGACCACACTGAAAATAAGCAAGGATATTCTTGGAATTCTTTTAAGAAGTAATATGAGAAAAACAGGAGACCGCGGAAGTTAATTTGAGCGCTAGCTTCCAAGAACCCAACTCCCATACCTGCAGCTGTACGATTGAATGGTTTCAAAAATGCAAAAAATTATTTAAATGACGTTCCATAATGAAAGAATGGTCACCGGGGCATCGGTCAATTTCTGACGATTGAGACTAGAAAGACTTTTCGGCAGATTCACACCTCGAAGAGAAACGGTACACTCAGCTCCGAAAGTGGTCCCTGCCATGTGTGAGGTGAATGAGTCCATAACTGCAGCACCGCGTCAAAGGTGAACAGGGCTGTAGAGAAGTGGTACCCGACCGCGGTACCCGCGCTGTCTTCAAGGCGCAGCGCTTGCGTCGATACCAAGGCAGGGTACATCATGGGGATGTGCGAAATGGCGGTGTGAGTACGACCCCCCCCCCCCCTCGAAGAGGGTCCAGTTACGACCCCCCCCTCCTGCTCTAACTGACAACCAGATGCATGTTCACACAAATGGCTTCCTGAAATGGAATCTGGAATTTTCGAAAAGCGGACTCTCCAAAATCCAAAGGCAATGGATGTTTAACAGCCTCATCAAATCAAGAGGCTGAAACAATTAGCTTCGGGATTACCTACAATTTTGTCTTAAGAACTTCAAAGTAAAATTTGTTGTTCGCAGAGAGATTGTAATAAAACTTGTAACCAAGGAACGCAATGCGAAAAGCACCAAGGCTGATAATGAGGTACCCAGATACGAGGGCTAAGATTGGTGAAAAAGTAGCCCCGAGGTCAGCGTGTCCCCAGATGTGCATGCATACCGTGAGGGAAATCATGAAAACATGCACGACACAACAAAGCGAAACATGAAAAATACAAAAAAATGCGGAGCCAAATGAAAAAAAAATGGATAACCAGGCGGCAGTATATCGTTCTATACTTGGCTATTATCGATCGCAACGTTGCGACCGCTTTCATTGGAAAAACGTCATTGGAGCGCGGTTGTTGGGCCTGCCAACGTCCTGGGTCTTTTCGGGGGGTTATATCTCTTTGAGGGGCGCGGCTTTTGATGAATGGTTAGCAGCATGCAACCCTACTGTTGCGTTTTCTACCCAGTTGCAATCTGAATGTTTCCCCGTTCGTGAAATATTTCGGATGGGTTTCGGATCGGCTAGGGGTAAATGGCAAGCGGGTTTTTATGCTTCACACGAGGATTACTTATTTCGAACGCAATTTCATCAGGATTAAAATCGTCTTGAACCGCCCTATCTTTTCTCTTTCCAATAAGCTTTACAGTTTTCCTGAAGACCCGCTAGTTCAGGAGATATTTTAGATGGGTCACAGACGCGCTACCCTCTGACCCACCCGAAAAATCGACTCCTTCTGTGCCATTGTGAGGATACACCTTCGGAAACTTCAGTGTGCCTTCAAAACACATATTTCCCTTCAAATGAGTGAAAGAGGAGCTCGGCTATCACTGATCGATTTGGTCGAGTGTGCGCCGTGCATTACGCTCCTACGCAGAGGTGGTGGAAAGGTGTAAATTCTGATTTCAGGTGCTTTATCCATGCAAGCAGATGTTTGTTTGGGGTTTGGAAAGGAAATACGCACGAGTCTGTTTAAGAGTTCATGCTATTGACTGATATTTATTTATTTATTTATTCTTGCTATATTGCTAATAATTTTTTATTATTTTGTAGTCCTATTTACATCCGGGTCTTCTGCAGCTTTCCGTCCGTTCCATCAAACTTAGCAATGACACTTTTGTACTGTTTGATGCCTAGCGAGCCTACTTTTGCGATACTCCCACGTCCCCGCGGCCAAGTACGAACCCATTTTTGGGGATTTCGCATGAAAAGAGGGCTGTTAAACGTAGCAGTTAAATCTGTAAAGAATACACTCATAATTTTTTTTTTTAAACATCTTGACTTCCATAGCTCCACTCCCACTATCAACTGAAATGTCGAAGCATTGCCCGGCTCTGAGTGACCCTTGAGATTACGACCCCCCCTCCCCAGCGGCCAAGTACGACCCCCCCCTATGGGTTTCGCACAACGATGCTGTACCCTGTACCAAGGTCCTGCAGCGAAACACGCACTTAGCGGTAGAGAGCAAACAGAAGTGATGGGGCGTAGACAAAAGCGTATTAGGCTACGGTTAGGCACCTGGCTGGCCTAGCGTGCAACTGGAGTATGGAGCAGGGCAGATCGTTGTTAGAGATTCCCCAACAGGGGGGGGGGGTCGTATTTGAGCCCTCAACAGGAGAATTTTTGGGTAAAAAAAGGGAAATCTGGTATGGACCACTTGAGCACCTACCACCCTTCAGCCTTGCTCCCTGCCCTTTTGATCAGAGAAATTGGCGCGCTACTGCATCTGCGGACTCATTCCTCCCAGAAATGAGCAGGATCCACAGAGGTGAATGTACAGTTTGTCTTTGAAGATGCTGCTGATACTGAATACCTATTGATGTGAATATAAAGCGACAAACCTGATGCATAAAAGCAGCTTTTATCGCTCTCAACTGATACTCTACCGTCCCGTCGTTGGAATTAATATCCTAAAAATCGAATTGAGTGGAATGCTAGCTTGTGTATAGAGAGCGGCCAATATATGCTTTCCGTGCACTCAGATCGAGTAACTGTTCACCACATATGATATTTGACAGTACAGTCTGATCATGCGGGGAAAAACCGGTGGGGCGTGGCAGTGCGGCTGCATTTGGTGCGGTTTGGCAAAGTCGTTCTGCACCAGTTTTTGAAGCGAACAAGTGCATTACTGTATAATATCCTTCGTATTACTCGTTTTCTACCACTTTTTGTCGCATACGCGTTGCAACAAAAAAGGCTGAGAACGGCTTCAACAGTGTGCGCACTCCTTCTGGCTGACACGCCCCACCGGTCCGCAATGATGAGGACTGTATTCTTAACTTTCATAATTATTATGCTACGTTCTCTGATACTTTTTTATGTGACGCTCTACCGCTTGTTAAAGCGATCCTGAAGGACTTTCATCAGCTTGAACAAAAAAGTTTCATTTAAACTGCAGGATCTCGCCCGTTAGCGCAAAACGAAGGGTATCAGTCATGAAGGACACGGCCATTAATATCGGTCTGCACAGAGAACCATGTTCAGCAAAAAGAGAAGTGCCGGAAACGACGAGGTCCTTGAAGTCGGTCGCTTCCCGTCTTGGTTTGCGGGAGCGGACCATGTAAATATAAGGTGACGCAAGATAAATGCGGGGAAGCCCGCGCATGGATGACTGGAAACTTTTTTTACGAGTAAAAGTAAGCATTGGCGGTCATACGATCGTCAGTGGATAGCTCCGTTCTGAAATCATCTCAGGAAAAGAAAATTAGAGACGCTGTTTCCGGACAGTAGTATGGTTTACAGCGGAACATCCATTACAGGCAACAGGCTTCCCATGATCATCAATGAACAACAGGAACCAACAATTCAGCCTATCGAAAAAGAGTATTCGAACATGAGCGAAGCTAAACTGAAGCGGAGAAGGAAGGAAGGTCTTTCCTTGAGATTACCAAAATTTACGGTAGCGGAGGGATATGGACGATAGTGTACACTCAATGTAATGTGCCAGATTTTCTTGACAAAGAGGAATGCTCTCCATGTCATTCACGCGGGCCCACAACTTTCTGGCTTTCTTGAGCAGGGCTTTATGAAGGATGATCGGAATGCAATAGAACTACCAGTCCATGCAATCATGGATATGAAGCTATACCTGGGCCGATCTAGAAGTGGACTACCCGGCTGCGCGACGCTATTCCCACTTGCGCCGTTCGGTATAATGCAGAGAAATAAAGAAAACCACTTACCTTTGTCTTCTGCTCGTTTTGGGCAGTAAGCTTATTGCAATAGTTAATGTATGAACAAAGGTAATCCTTCCGTTGAGAAGCCGGCATATAGTAATCAATTTCCACTTCCAACCAATCTCTCGGCACCTAGGAGGAAACTAGTGAGGTTCCCAATCGTTCACATGAACGCGGCATGAACTTTTTAAGGGCAGCTACTGAAGAGCCACTCACCAAAAAATAAAAAAAACTACAAGGCGTTTGAACGGAAGTGATTGCACTTAATTCGTAAACTCACCAGACTTTGAATGGAGATCTGGGTAGATCGATAGAGTCTATAAGGTTATTTACAAATATAGATAGCAAAACTGCAACCTGCATTTCACAAGCAACTTATGAGCAGGTAAAGTTTGTAATGGTGGAGGCTTGGTGGTGAGCTGTGAAGCATAAGCGAGGAATCGCATACGTCGAATCGAGTCGTCGAACGTCGAACCTTACCACTGAACCACCACGACTCGATTCGACGTATGCGATTCCTCGCTTATGCTTCACAGCTCACCACCAAGCCTCCACCCTACTGCACCATTACAAACTTTACCTGCTCATAAGTTGCTTGTGAAATGCAGGTTGCAGTTTTGCTATCTATATTTGTAAATAACCTTATAGACTCTATCGATCTACCCAGGTCTCCAGTCAAAGTTCCACGGCAAGTTGAGGACTTCCATGGTTAACATAAACGTCAAAGCTACCCTAGTCCAATTAATCCTAGTCTGCTGTGACCAAAGTATACCAAATCAAATCTCTGACTTTAGCTTCCTGGCGAGAATGACCTATTGTTGCCGATCCGGGCTATTTTAGAAACGAATTTTTGATTTTTTCCTTTGGGTACCACCCTCTCCTTTGCACGTCTTTGCGCGCTCGCACCCACTCTTATGTGGAGCTCAGTCCCTGTGCACCTTGACTCGCAAGCCCATCTATCGACATATGCTGCGCATCCCCTAGTAATTCTACTGGGGACGATCTGTCGATTTCTAGAACACTAACAGAGACAGGCAGACGTACACAGAGTTTTATAATCGCCGTGTTGTCCTTTGCTAAAACCTCCCTGCAGAACTGCTCTGATAAATCATCGCTAACTCCCTTTGGTGCGCAGCCGAAGTCTCCTACTACTGGCAGTTCTACATTTCGATCTACTGGAAGGACGGATGTTGTTATAGCTGATGTCATTAGTACTTAATTCCAACTCTGTTGATTTGACAGAAATGAGTCACTACCTACCTTTAGTGGATTGCGTGTGCCTCTCAGCAGCTGCATGGGTATGATCGGAGCACGAAAGGACCTTTCACGCTTCTTAGAGTACATATCACACAGGTTGAAGTCGATATGGTCGGACATTGCCAGAGAGTTTGGTTGAAATGCTGAAAACAGATGTGTTCTTTAGAAGATAGCAGAGCGCTTGAAGCATCTCTACAGGGTCTACCTTTTTGAAATGTAGCAGAGCTGTCTTCCGTCCCGCTAAGTCTCATTGCGTCTGTATCCATGAGTCGCTCCATCCAGGCAGCTTCACGCATCTGTTGCTCCTGATCTTTAGCGCGAGCATCCTCCCTACAAACGGAGATTTACACTGATGGAAAAATTACATTTGGCAATGCTCCACTCAAGTCACCAGCCGACAACAGTCTGTGTCAGCTTCCTGGAGAAGTCTGAGAATGGCCCCACAGCAATGCACATTGTGGTTCTGCGACACTTGCCAAACCCTGAATATGTGCTCTTCAACCAACAGCCTTGAGCTTCCTCAACACAGATTACAAGGGCCCACCAGCAAGGGCCAACAGGGAGGGTAAGCTACCTCTGCCTAAACCTCACGTGCCAATGCGCGCGTTACGCGGAAAAGTCGTAGAAGACCGTCACGTAGAGAGGGTGGTTAACAAGGCAGGCCTCTGAACTGACCTTTATTTTCACACACAGTGTCATCTACCGCGCAGTCATTATCACACGTAGGCATTATAAAAATAGAGGCAAACCACGGGAGAGGCGGACACTATTCCCACTAGATCGGACATCTACTTCGGTGCGCTTCGCGTCAAATTCCCGCTAAGGAATTGCACGCAGGGGATATATGGTATACAGAGAAGCATTTCAAACGTTCTAGGGCATTAGGAGCTACCACAAGGAATCTCTCACAGCAAAAAGCAATAGTAATGCAAAAAAGCGCTCACATACTTGACAGATTCTCTTTTAAAGGCCAAAAAATTCCGCCTTAACTTTAGCCAATTGGCGCTGTTATGCTATGCAGAACAAAAAATCAGTATGTAACACAAGGGTGGCTCGCTATACAGTCAAGCTTACGGTAATATCTGTACCAAAATCAATTTCTCACGGCAGACGGACGCATTGCTTTCCGACAGCGCATATCCGTTGCAAGTTGAAGGCATGTTCTGCATTCATTTAATGTTCAGACGCCTTCTCTGGACCCGTACTCCTGTTCGCAATTCATGAAGGATGTACTATACTTTCGCAGCTCAAAAATACTTAAGGAAATGCTGGGCCCGCTCGCGACGAGGTCACGGTCCACTACCCCAACAACGCCAAGTTTCATTTCTAACGGCGTCCTGGTGACGCCGTTACAAATGAAAGTTGACCTGAAAGTTCATCCCGTCAGTGGCAGCTTCTCCATCCGAGTGACTGACCAAGAGAGAAAGAGCTAAAAGCCGCCTTTGGGATGAAGAATATCCGCCCTCTGAAAAGATACAAGCCGGCACAATTCATTTCATAATGGAGTTTCGAGCAAAATGCACAGAATCCTGCACTTAAAGACAATTATCGCGATCAAGTATTGCGGGCAATTGTACTCTGTCATGCACCAGTATTCCATAGTTAGCTTCTCAGTAGAAAAAGAAGCAGAAAAATCTTCGGGAACACCTTGAACCCAAACCTACCTTTAGCAGTGGGGGCGGGGCCTGGACGAGTGTGCCGGGCGTGGCTGCCAGAATTCGATGCGGCAGCCGCAATTGCGTCCCAACTTTCGAAATAGGATACTTTCGAACGTAAGGCAGCGTTCATACTTGTAGCGCTACAGCGTCGCGCTACAGCGCCGCTTCGCAACGTACTGCAATTTCCAACGATGGGATGATTAGAGTTGCTTACAGAGAAAATTGGGAAGGTTGCTGGAGTTTTCTTGAGAAATTGACAAGAAAAAAAAGAAAAAGAAAGAAAATGACAACAAACCCCACTTGACAACAAATCTCCCTACCATTGGAAAAGCAAGCACTACATTCCATAAGCAAAAAAAAACTCTAATGGTTCCGCACTTTCACACATGTTTACAAGCCTGACCGAAGTAAGACCTTTAGCTGAGCTATGAGCCAACTTTGGCAAAATGCCGGGACGCGGGCTTAAAGGGACGCGCGGGCTTTAAAGGGACGGATGCAGTTCGGGACCAGACGCCTCGTCCACCTACCGTCTCCGTGAGCCTAGCGAGCCTTGTCGAAATTGCGATAACTTCCTCATCGCGCGCCATTGATGGATAAAAGCGGGATCATCTTCATCAAGGCGCAGAGGGTTCCAGAAGGCGCGAAGTCATTTTGAAAGGCTTCAGAGCCGGATACTGTTTTAAGGATTTATAAAAATATATATATGACTGAGCGCTCAATGTTCGTTAGAAAATTCTCATCTTTATTTTACTTGCTACGCGTGTAAAACACAGATGAAAAAACCCACAATGACTGAGTTGCCAAGGCACGCATGTAACCAATACGATACTGGAAACGCCCCGGCAGCCATTTCGACTCGTCTGTTTCTGCTGCCTGCATGTAGCGTTTGCGATGAAACCGATCGTCTCGTCCACAAAGCAACTAAACAGAGTTGTGATGGAACTAATACAGGCAGAGGCGCACCAAGGCTTGAAGGGTTTCGTGGTTTTGGAAAGTTTCAAGAGAAAAGATAAAAGCATTCATTGGCGGTTTGAACCCAACTTGAACTTCCATCCATAGTACTTAAGGGTGGAACCTTTGAAGCGAAGATGGCGGGGTCAATTGATTAAACCTAACTACACATACAACGTTTGTCCCCGGCGCACATTTTCCCGCTGTTTTGCATTGGAACTTTGTTCGACTCTTTTTAGCCAAATGAGCCCCATGCAAAGGAAAGTCGCCTACCTGCTGCCTGGCAGCAAACGTGAGCTCTGTCAGACAGACCAACTGATTCCTCGTGTCGGCAGTTTCAACACTAAAGTTAGAAAGTAAGAAGAATTTTCCAAACTACAATTGCTAAAGACTCACTGGTCTCTGTTCTCAATATTTATGGCATCGAAAGGCTGCACTACGGGCCAGAATATTCCTTCCGTTTTCTCAAACGGGAACCTGGATCGCTTCGGGTTTGCAGAGCCCCACTTCGGAATAACGTGCTTGCCTGAAACGAGCTTTGCTAAAACAAAATCATTATAGGCAGTTTATGCATGAGAAGTGTATGGATCGCGGTGGAGCGTGTATCCTTTCACAATCTGCTGAAGAACAACCTGTTCCCCCCCCCCTCCGCTCCCATATTAATACCTTTCTCTCTCTCGACGTTCCCTATTCTGTATCCTCATTTTCATTTCCAACCACGGTACAACATCGTTGTGTGAAGCACATATGGAGGTCGCACTTTTCAGCTGGGGAGGTGGGGTCGTTATGGTCTGGTCGTTGTTGGGAGAGGGGGAGGGGAAGCGTATGTGGCTTGAGAGGAATTTACCGCGTTGGGAAAAAAATTTTCCCGGTTGTTGTCTTTTCGTG